GGACAGTAAAACGAGGATCCCTATCCGACACAATAGTCATAGGGACTGCATGAAGTCGAATTATCTCTCTAATGTACAACACTGCCAAGCGTTCAACTGAGTCACTGGTGCACATAGGGGTGTGCGCGGTGCGGGTCGGTGCGGTTTAAGAGAAAAATAGAAACCGTATGGCGGGTGGCGGATTAATAAAAATGTCATTAGAATTTTCCATTTTTCTTATTAAAAACCGATGGTTCGGTTGTCAAATAATGATAGATTTGCCTTGACAGTTCAGACGAATTGGCGGTTTATAAAAAATATAATTCAAATATAACTCAACCTCTTGTAGAATGTGGACATCAGTGATGGCATTAACCTTCAAAAACAAGTATATGTTTTTCTCATTAGTCTCACTGAGTTTCCTTGACTATCATGCAAAGCTATAATCACCCACTAACTTTTTCACTTCCTGTTTCATTGAGGGCTGCTATATTTAAGTGAAGAAAATAATAATTAATATATAGAAGTTCTCTTTAAATATTTAAGCAGAACACACCACATGTCCACATCTTTATCTTTCCTTTATTTATATATCTTTGATTAACGTAGTTTTATTTTTTTGGGTTAATTACACTAATTTATTGCAGCTCAAAAATCCTGCCATATATACCCTCTAAATAAATTAATAAAATCATGCCATGTATTACTCCTATTTATATTAATTTATTCATTTTTTAAAACTTTTGAAGAATTTACTTAAAAATAAAAATACTTTTACTAATTTAAAAAAATTTCACCCAAACAGGATATATATTATATATAGAGCACTAAGCATGATATATGCTATATATATATATATGTATAATGTATGCTGACCAAGTGCAAGATATATATTATATTCTATATATAATGTATACAGAATAGAGAGAGAGTAGCAAAAGAAAAGAGAGAAAGATAGAGCATCGAAAGAAAAGAGCTGCGCAAGAAAGAGACTAACAGCGGTCGATCGGCACAGCAGCAGTGGTGAGGAGAGGAGATGCTAACAGATCAGCGACAGTGAGGAGAGGCTGGTGGTGATGAGGAGAGTGAGCCAGTCGGCGATGAATCTGTGTGTATGAATCGATGAAATGTTATACACAGTAGCGGCATCGTCTGTGTGTGTGTGTGAATGAGATGAAATTGAAATGTGTTGGTGGGTGTTAATTAGGTTTAATTGAGAAATTATTGTGTGTGTGTGTGAGTATATGTATGGTAGATATAACCTGTGGTTGGATTGTACTTGGTCTGTGGGTGTATAACAGGGGATTTTTTTTCTTTTTGAAACATAGGCAGGTCAGGTCGGTTAGACCTGGGGGTTGGGCAGTTCCACCCGCCACCCACGCCAACCGCCAGTTCTGGTCCTCCAACCTGCCAACCAGCCCGCCAAGGTTGAAATTTTGTGCGGTTTGGTAAGGTTCGGAGCGATTTGGTGCGGTTTTAGCAGTTTTGGCGGTATTATGCACTGCCCTAGGTGCACATCGGAATGAAATGTATAGACTTAGTCAACCTATCAACAATCACCCAAACGGCATCATTGCCTCGTTGTGTTCTAGGAAGCCCAACTACAAAATCCATGGTAACACGTTCCCATTTCCACTCGGCTATCGGTAAGGGTTGTAACATATCCGCTGGTCTTTGGTGTTCGGCTTTCACTTATTGACAAGTAAAACACTTCGATACAAATAAAGCGACATCTCGTTTCATACCCCTCCACCAAAACTGACGACTAAGATCATGATACATTTTAGTGCCTCCCGGGTGTACCGCAAGGCGTAAGTGATGGAACTCTCGAAGTACTTCATCTCTACAAGATTCTTGTACAAACAAACAATCTAGGTAACGTATTCTCAAATTCAAGTGAACGTTCAAACCTTTCTCTTCATTCCCAATGGAAATCTTAACACAGATTGATTCCACATCACGGTCTCCGTGTTGTGCCTCTATGACCTTACTAACCAAGGTAGGTTGAGCATTTAAAGTAAACAAGGTAGCACACTCTCCGGACTCACCCATGTGCAAATCAAACTTGCCAATAACATCTAGCATACCATTCCCGAATGGCCACACTTGCGAAACTACTCAGATTTTCGACTCAAAGCATCAGCCACCACATTGGCTTTCCCCGAATGATCGTGTAACTCAAAGTTATAATCCTCCATAAATTCCATCCACCTCTATTGTCGTAAATTCAAGTCTTTTTTAGAAAACAAATACTTCAGACTCATATGATCGAAGAAAATCTCAAATTTCTCACCATACAAGTAATGCCTCCAAATTTTCAAGACAAAAATCACCGTCGCTAATTCTAAATCATGGGTGGGGTAATTTTTCTCATGAGTTTTCAATTGTCGTGATTCGTAGGCCACAACTTTTTCCTCTTGCATCAAGACACAACCAAGTCCATCCCCGGACGCATCACAATAGACAGTTTAATTAAAACCCCTTTTCGGAATTATCAAAATCGGTGCGGTAGTCAATCTAGTCTTAAGCTCTTAGAATGACTTTTCACAAGGCTCACTCCACACAAATTTGATACCCTTTCTAGTCAACCTAGTCAAAGGTCCAGCTAGTCTAGAAAAGTCCCTTACAAAATGTCGATAATACCCCGCTATTCCCAAGAAACTCTAGATTTCAAAAACATTCTTGGGTTGTTCCCAATCCTATACGGCATCTATCTTTAAGGAGTCCACAGTCACTCCCTCTCTAGACACTACATTCCTCAAAAACTTCACCTCTGTTAACCAAAACTCACATTTTTCAAATTTGGGATACAATTGGTGCTCACTAAGTAAACCAAGCATTACCTGCAAGTGAGTCTCGTGTTCCTCTTCAGAGGTTGAATAAATCAAGATGTCGTCCACAAAGACGACCACAAAACGGTCCAAGTATTCCCGAAAAATTCTGTTCATCAAATCTATAAAGGAAGCCGGTGCATTGGTCAACCCAAAAGGCATTACAAGGAATTCATAGTGGCCATAACGAGTACGAAAGGCCGTCTTCTGAATGTCCTCCTTCCGGACTCTCAACTGATTGTACCCCGACCTCAAATCTATTTTTGAGAAGCAACGAGACCCTCTAAGTTGGTTAAACAAATCATTTATTCTGGGTATAGGATACTTGTTCTTAACTATAACTCTATTCAACTTGCGGGAATTAATACACAATCGCAATGACCCATCATTCTTCTTCGCAAAGAGAGCCGACGCTTCCCAAGGCGATGTACTAGGGTGAATGAAGCCATTGTCTAAAAGTTCTTGGAGTTGAATCTTCAACTCATGCAATTCGACGGGTGCAAATCTATACAGTGACATGGAAATCGATGTTGTGCCAGACACTAATTCAATGGAGAACTCGATCTCCCGGTGAGGTTGTAAACTAGTAAGATCTTCTGGAAAGACATCCGGGTATTCACAAACTACCCTTGGTAACTCAACACGAGTCTCGTCACTCTCACTATCCAAGAGAGTTGCAAGAAGGCCACTAAGCTTTCTCCTACTACGAGGGTTAACAACTAGCAACAAGGCTCTATCAACTAGGTTCCCCAGAAAATAGAAACGATCACCGTTCGAAGTGAACACCGTAACTCTCTGACAGTAACAATCAATCACAGCTTGTTAAGAACACAATCATTCCATGCCTAAAATGACATCAAAACTCGACATATCTAGCAACACAAAAGTAAATGGAAGTCGACGCCCGGCAACTTCTATTTCACAATCACGACAACCCCGGTCTAAATCAACTGTACCCCCAACAGGTGACTCTACTCTGAGTGGAGGCACTAACTGTGCTATCTCTAACCCCAATGCAGAAGCAAACGCAGTAGATATAAATGAATGAGACGCACCCATGTCTATCAATACATTAGCCAAAGAATTACACACAACAAAAATACCTCTCACATCTGAGGATTCTGGCAACCGCTCTGGCACAGTAACAGCATACACGCGCCCCTGTGGCCCCTAATTGACTTGCTCCCCTCTCGTAGCATAAGCTTGTTGTACTGACTAAGCTGAATCGCCAAAATGTGACTTTCTGCGACCAACTCATTTTGGTCGCCAAAAATAATGATCATTCGCGACTAATTAATATTTTGGTCGGCAAATGTCATTTTTTTGCGACTAAAATTTTTTTGGTCGGCAAAAGTGGTCGGCAAATATGTAAATTCTTGTAGTGTTGACTTGCTCCCCTCTCATAGCATAAGTCTGTTGTACTGACTAAGCTGAAGCAACTCCTTGATTAACTCGCGAAGCTTGGACTGATTGAGCCTGTTGGTGGCTTTGAGTCTACCTCGACCTTGATGCGCCAGATGCGCCTCCCAACTGTGGGCAAGTTCTCTTCATATGCCCCGGCTGACCACACTGATAATAATTAAACCCTTGACCTTTATTCTGAGACTGAGATTGATTTTGAGATCAATTAGGTGGTGGTAACATTAACTGCCCTCCTCCCTTCTGTGGGCATGAGAAGGATTTGTGACCCAGTTGGCCATACTTGAAACACGAGAAGCTACTCGATGCACTTTTTTTGGGACCCGCACTAGGCAAAGGAAAAGTGGATCTAGACTGCTGTGGTTGGGACTGGGGTGGATAGGTGTTCCTGCTCTTTTTGTTCTGCCTATAGTCTCCTTGAGACTCTTGGCCCCTAGACCTCGAATTCCGAAGCCTCTCCTCCTCGGCTTGTATGGAAATTTCTACGTGTGTTGCCGTCTCCATAAGATGGTCATATTCCCGAATCATATTTTCGACCAGTAAAATTATGAGTATTTAATTATATAATTTTGATTATTCAGACTGATATTGATTGGAAGGGGGATTCAAATAGATGAAATAAGAAAAAAATAATAAAAGTTGAAAGGATAAAATTAAAATTAACTTTTATTTTTTAGTTAATAATTTTTATTTTGTGGTTTCTACCTAAAGGTCAATAAAATATGAAAACTAATATATACCTTATAAAATCCAAACTAGTTAATAGCACCTCTCTCTCTCTCCCTTTCTCCCCCCAAAATGAAGTCCCTCATGGAATTCGTGAGCTGCTGTGGGTCTGCCCCCAGTCGGCCGGACCCACTGCGAGCGGAGGAGACGCAGTTCCTCGTGCTTCCCTCGTCACGGAAACGGCCTGCCCGGGGCCGTTATCAGAACCGGAAGCGAGGGAGCTCGGGGACGTCAGCCGATTGGCGGCCCTCGCTGGGAGCGCTTTCAGAGGACAATGTGGTGCCGGAGTCAGAGAGAGAAAGGTGGAGGAGTATGAACGCTGGATCTGAGAGAATGCTGAAGAGAAAGGTCTCGTCGTCGTCGTCGGCCAGCACTGCTGTCGGAGTTTCTGTCCGTAATTACAGTAGCGACAATTCCGGGTATGTTTTTCACTCCCTTTTACTTGGTCCATCCTCATAAATCATTTTTATTTTTTCCTACATTCCGATACTCTAGGAACGAACAACTATAACTTTGTTTGTTAACTACATAATTAATATGATAAAATGATTTTAGCCTTGTTTGAAAGTAGAGTTGGGCTACAACAATTTATTAAAAAATAAAATATATTAAAATAATTAATAAGGTAAAATATTATATTTAATTCATAATTATTTTATTTTTTCTTTGACCATCAGTAAATCAACTAAAAAAAACTTATCAATTTTTCGAAAACAAATTTTTTAGCCAACCTAAAATAGCCAAATAACTAAATAATCAACTTTTCAAACCAAGCCTTTATCTAAGATATTTTA